GAGCTTCAAACGCAGCACAGCCAAGTTGCGTTCCATGAGGAGCCCCTCAACTAGGAAGACCCTTCCTAATCTGTCCAAAAGGCAAAGTAACCCCTCCTCATCTGCCTGCATCCCCAATAAGCTTTTTTGCCCCTCCAAAGGCAGACTGCTCTAAGTCACTCTGTATCCTCAGAAGTCCAATGCAGGCCATCAGCCCAGCACCCAGTGCAGGGATTAAGGGAGAAGCAACAAATCACTCAGAAACTAAAACAAATAGGGCAGAAAACAGTCTCATGCTATAGTTGAGTAAAAACAAGATGAAAGCACTGACAGGCTGCTGATCAGCAATACCTGCCAGAAAACCCAAACACCATCATCATCTAACAAGGGGCAGGACCCAAGCAAGGGCTGAAGCTACACTAGTACTGAGAAGCTGACCTCAGCTGCTGCTTGAAGTTTAGCTAGGAGAAGCTATGGAGCAGGTCTCTGCCTGGTAAAGGAGGCCAGAACAAACAGCAAAGAGCCTCTGCTGAACCCTGCAGGAAGCCAATGACCACAGTGTTTGTTTGCCACCATGATCTAGCAGGCTATGGAAGTGCCATCATTCTTCCAATAAATGATGCTTTCCTGAAGCTTGTTTTAACAGGACAGTTGATGATACAGCCACAGACAGTGGTTACACCCATACAGGATGCAGGACGAAGCACTGAGATTAGCAGGACAGCATTTTGGACACTGTTCTGCTGCTGCACGAGAAGTCAGTATTCAGAGGACAGCAGTGGTCTATACTTTCCTCAGGTCTCACCTTGCCTGTAGACTCTGTTTCCTCTGGCAGAAGAAAGCTCTTGGGGCCAGTCCTGCCGCACAGTCCCAGCACACGGGAGTCAACTTTTAACCAGGGCTCCAAGATGTCAGGAGAGTGACAAATCATCATCATGTGAATGATGATAAAAGGTCCCTGCCACATTAAGGCCTGGCTTCTACATCCCCTGAGGTCAGACTGAACCACTCTTGGAGCTCAGGATGGATTTGAAGCACGGCCACACCTTGGGACCATCAAGTGGCCTCTCCTTGCTTGGTAGTATAGTAAAGGCTGCACAGGAAAGGAACTATGCTGCTCCCCCTTCACACAGGAGAATACCATGAGCTCCACCAAAAGCACTCTTGAAGTCAGTCTGGAGCTCTGCAACACCCCCATACAAGAGAGGACATGCTGCCCATGTGGTTATGTTGGAATAGAAGCCCAGCTCCAGCCTTCCTGGGACCTAAATTTCAGGACCACAGTGATAAATTGGAAAAGAGATGGGTAGTACAGCCTCCCCTGCTCTTCCCTCCATGAAAGATGCTCTGAACACCTCAAAGCAATGGCAGCCTGCAGGGGAGAAAAGAGATCCTTGGGATAATGAAAAAATAAAAAAGCACACACTGCACGCAGCCTGGGGTACAGGTGTACAGAAGACAAACTCTGTGGATAGATCCCATTCCTCCAAGTGCACACCACTATTTCCACGGCATCCCAGTTCCCAGCTGTGCCAACTGCACAGATGGAGGCACAAGTACCCACAGAGTGGTGGTACTGAGATGTCCAGTCTCTGGAAGGCCTCTCTCAAAGAGGCCCACAGGCTTGAGCCAACCCTGATACTCCTCAACCTCATCACGCAGCTACAAGGTGACAACATCGCACTGCTGAATTTCACCCACCAATCATCTCTACAACACTGTCAGGTGAGAAAGAAAGCAGCTTTCTACACTGTTGCTGTGGAAGCAAGGAGAAGTAGTAGCAATAGGAGGCTCATGAACACTAACCTAAGGGTAAAGACATTCCTGGTTCAAGATGCTTTTGTGCACTTCTTGGGCTCTGAATGCTTTTTGCAGAAGGGAGTTTTGCAGACCAACAGTAAAGCCAGTTGATAATCTACATTCCAGTCCCAGACTGAACTCTGCTGCTTAAAAGCACCACCACTGTTCAACTGCATCGACAGCTTTTCATCCTCCTGACAGAATATCAGATCTCTGACAGGCCTCAAGCTGTGGATGACTCACCAATCTTTTGACAGTAGAAATCTGGGTGACTTAAGTTTGGTTGCCTCAAACAGATTCCACTCAAGCACAGATCCATGCTCACAGCATTGGAGCAGAGGAAAGCAGCTTCCAGGTCCTTCACTGACACCTTGTGTCAGAAGCAGGAACTGGATACAACAGTGACCGCCAGGCAGGTTCCAAATGCTCCCAGCTCCTGCGTACTGCACAGGGCCTCAGCTGAGAAACAATCAGAGCACCAGGACTTTTGGAGCTGAAAGAAGGGATTAAACGTGTTATTTCTAAAGGGTTTAAGAGAAAGCTTTAATCAAAACAGTTCTCACACAGCCCCTCAATCCTGGACATGTTTTTCTGCACTTTTTAAGGCCAGCTCAAGAGCCTGCCTCACCACAGACAGCCCATTTGGCTCTGTGACTGAACAAGGGAGAGCTTAGGTCAGGTTACCTTGTGATCAGACAAACTGAGGCAACAGGGGATCACGCAGAAAAGCATGATTTCCTCCCTTCCAGCAGCAATAAACTGCCAGCCTAAGTTCTGAAGCAGACAAATCAATCCCTTTACGCTTCCAGACTGATCTGGGCACACCAGAGGGAACAGCATTTCAGACCTAGAAGCACAATGTCCTCCAAGCAGCAATTCCCAGGGCCAGACCCAGAAAAGCCTTGGTCCTTCAGGCTTTCTCTATGGCCAAGGCAATCACTTGCTCCAGGATTGGAACTAACTGCAGAGTCAGACACATGAGAGGCAGCAATGAAGGCTAAACAGAGAGCAGGGAAGAATGTACCAGTAATTTTTGCCCCAGTACTTATTTTGGCTGCTAACACATCAGCCACTGCCTGAATTTAGTGCAGATGAGCATCTGGGAGAGAAACACATTAAAAGTCTGTGGAGTGCAGAAAGCAAGTACTGAAATGGGAAAATAAGCACTAAAAGGACAGAGGAAAGCAATTGACCAGAGACCTATGTAATAAAGAGCAATGCTCCTTTGAACAAAAATCCCTCTCCAGAAGCATGCTAAGGAGAGGCACGGTGAGCCAAGTGAAGGAGGAACAAGACTGGCAGTGAATTTGGAAGAACCTTTAGGTTGTGAATGAAGCATGACAAAGAGCACAGCAACGGCCACCACCAGAGAGCTGCTGGGGACAGAACAGCAACAATACCATAACAAACATAGAGGAACTTCAACATGACTCATTCCAAATGCAGCCAACACCACTCCAAGGGAGAACTAGGCTTAAGCAGCTTGGTTCAGAAACTAAGAAATGGAGAGAAAAGAGAAGCTCCAAGTGCAGAAAGACTCCAAAGAGGAAGTTATCTGCAGGAAAGATGAAAAAGTTACAGTTCAGGACATGCTGACTTGTGACTACAAAGAAAGCAGAAGTCACCCACAGCTCCCTTTCAGTCCCTGGGCTCCACAGCAGGAATAACAGTGACTGCTGCAAGCAAAGAGCTGCAAAAAAAAGAAAAGCTGAAAAGGAGCTTCTGTCCTAAGTAAAAATATACTGGCAATTTTTAAGGTAGAGACTGGAGCACAACACACAGCACTCTGTTCCCATTCTATTGTTATCTAGAGTGAGCAGCTCCATGTAACTTCCATCCAGGGTTCAGCTGGCCAAGGATTCAATGTCAATTAACCACTCAGCAATGATTGTCTAGATAAAACTGATGCTTAATTTTTTTAGAAGAAAGAATGATCCAAAAATTATAGTTCCACGGATCAAAACAACATCTCTGGATACATGTGTTTCTAGTTTATTTCAAGATAGGCCTGGTTTTAATCTTTGTGATTTGTGATGCAGGTTCTGTACACCAAAGAATGAAAACTGCTAAGCAGGTCACTGATCACAGGAATACCAACTAATTAAGATGATGAGCTGACCCCAGGTGATCACTGAACTGCAGAATAGTTTGAGTAGGAAGGGACCTTCAAAGGCCACCTAGTACAACTGCCTGCAATGAGCAAAGATATCTTCAACTAGACCAGGTTGTTTAGATCTCCATTCAAACTGGCCTTGAATGTTTTCAAGGATGGGGCATCCCCCACTTCTCTGGACAATCTACACCAGTGTTTAAAAGATGATGGCTGGAAATCAGAATCAGCCTCGAAAGAAATCTCAAGATCACAGGCAACAGGTAATGCACTGGTGAATTTACTCAGATATACACTCAGATGGATTTTTTTCCACTAGTAATCCCTCAATAACAGCAGGTACTCTCCTAGGTGACCTGATCTTCTTTGAAACTAATTATGGATATCAGGATCTTAGATTATACCAATAACCTTATTTCAGGCCTTAAAAAGGCTTCCTGCCCTTTAGGGAGTGAAGGTGCAAACACGTCTCACCAGCAATGCCTGTCAAAACCCACCAGGCTCCCAAAATCCGCAGGGCACAGGGCACAGCTATACAGCCACCTCAAGAAAGCAGTGGGAGCCCAAGTTCCCCTACACCGCTGTATCAGCTGCTGCAATCGCACGGCCGGGGTGACCGGGAAACTGAGTCAGCTGAGCGGGGTGGGGGTACAGGACGGGACAGCGACTGTGTCCTCAGCCTTGGGGTGAAGATGGAACAACCCCTCATAAACGCCACTATCGGCTCTTTTCCCCACTGCCAGGCAGTGCCTCTCGCCTCCCCACAGCCCCCCACCACCTCCCCTCAGCCCACAGCCCGGACATTCCCCTCAGGATGGCGGGGAGGGGGGGGGCTGTTCCCGCTTGTCTCAGGCCTCCACTGCTACTCACCCTCCAGGCTCTCGCACTGCACCAAATTCACGTAGTCCCCTTGCCGAAGTACCCCCGCCTTAAAGCCGCGCACCAGCCCTTCCAGGTACCCGTTATCCACGTTAAAATAGAGCTCCGGGAAACACGACATGGCGGCAGCGACGAGACGGCAGCGCTACCGCCCGCCGCCTCACGTGACTCGCGGCGGGTCACGTGGCCGAGGCCCCTTCCCGGCAGCCATTGCGAGGCGGGAACGGCCTGAGGCGATGGCGGCCACCATAACGTCCTGCGCCGAGCGTGAGGCTCCCCTTCACTACACCCGAGCCACCATGAGCGATACAGGCAGAAGAAGGATACACAAGTAAAGTTCGCAGTGTCGCCTGTTGCCGAGACACCACTTCTACTAGTCAGGAAATACCTAGCAAGTTAAAGGGCTTTGCCAGGGGCTGCTCTGTAAAAAAATAAAATAATTTTGTTTGATGCAGAGGTGTTGAAAAATGTGAGATATGTCAAGGTTATGTTAAGGCAGGATGTTCTTTCATTCAAGGCCTCTGTATACTTTCAAGCCTAATCAGGAAGAAAGGAGACTTAATCAGTGGAACAGGCAGCAGCCAGCATCCCTCACTCAGAAATATCTAGAACAAGCTTTAAGGATGTAGTAAGTCAAGATGTTGATAAATGTCTATGTGTACGTTATCAACCTAGTGAAATTCTCACGGTCCATGTATCCTAAAGCTGAACTGTCTTCATTAAAACACTAAAAATCATGCCTGCTGGTCAAAAAGACCCTGCCCAGGTGAAGATGCTTCCCCTGAGCATGAGTAGAAGTTAGCTGGGGTTACGTGATTTCTATGGAAATTACTAACCAATCTTAATAGAGAAAATTACTTCATAAAGGAAATTACTAACCCTGAACGTCTCTTTGTAAATAATGGCAGGGAAAGTCCAGTGGGGTGTGCTGGATTTGTGGAATATCACCGAGCACCCAGGCTGGGGCAGCTCTGAAATAAACAATCCATGTTTCTCTGGAGTGTGTCGGTATCGGTTCAGTGCACATCAACAAACAAACCTGATCTTGTGGGTAACAGCAGCATAGCCAGAACATCACCTGGGGTACCCCTGCTGTTGAAACACCATTTTATGTAGTCAGGAAAGGCACATCTGATTTGATGTGGATGTGTTCTGGAGTGTTGGCTGTGTGGACACTGTGCCCAGCTGTGCAAAGGCCACCCTCACCTTGCTGCCACCCTCTCTCCCCTGAGAGCCCGAGCAGACACATCACACCATTCCCACGCTGCAGTGGCTTTTGCAAAGGGCTGGTTTATTGGAGCTACAGAGAAGGAGGCACACACAGGGGCGAGGAGCTGGCAGCCCCACAGGCGCTAGTTCTTGCCGCAGGGGAAGTTGGTGCTGATTTTCCTGCAGTAGCAAAAGGCGTTGAAGAAGCGGCAGTAGCAGGTGGCACAGGGGTCACAGCAGGGGATCTGGTGGCCGAGGCACGACTCCAGGAGACGGACGCAGCGGCGGGGGGAGCGCTCCTCACGGCCCTCAGCCTGCAGGTCTGTGGATGGTACCTGCAGGGGAGAGAGGAGGAAGAGGAGGGGAAGAGCTGGTCCTGGATCACTGTGCCAGCAGTAAAGAACTGCGTGGGAGAGAGCCAAGAGTGGCTGCTGAAACCTGGTGCTGTCAGCAGCAGTGGCTTCTGTCGTGTTTAACTCCAGGCTCTGTTTTCTGTCGGAAATCACTGCTGAGCCCTGTGGGCTTTCTGTAGGCATTGCTGCCTCATCCACAGTGTCTCAAGACCTTTCTGCAGACGTTTATTTTGAAGCTCAACCTGGATTTTAGCAAATGGTGCTGTGTCTTCTGCCCAAACGGAGGCACCAGGGGCTGAGCCAGGCAACACAGGGCACTGCCCAGCAAGCTCCTGGGCTGCACTTGAGGTTAATTAAATGGATTACACAAACACAGGCTTGGACCACTCTCCTTTGAGTGCTGGAGCCCCTTGCAGGTCTGGGTAGCCTTAGCTGATCCCAGCTCCTCAGGTGATGGACAGATAGCCCCATCCCAGGAAGCACCATTCTGGGCTCCAAACCCACCCAGCCCTAGGGACACAGAAAAGGCTGCTGTGGCCTCAGGCCACCTCACTCCTTAGGGTTGTCTGTAAGAAAGCTCAGGGAGCCATACCTGTGGTTCCAGCAGGCTGCCTCTCTGCACAAGGTCACCATCAGCTTCTTGGACCCCCAGGGCCATCTGCTCAAGCCCCAGCCTTGGGAGAGCTCCTGTGAGATACAGAGAGGCTGGACAAGGAGGCTGCTGGAGGGTCAGCTCTGATTCTTCTCCCTTTACTCATGTGTGTCTCACAAAAAAAAAAGACCCCACTCCCTGTGAGCTGCTCTCACCAGCAAGGGTCAGGAGAAGCTATGCTGCTTTACAGCAATCCCCCAACTCTGGGTGTGGGTTCCCCAGTTCAGTTTTGGGGTCCTGGGTTTTCCAGAAAGCAACTGGTGGGGGGTCAGTGAAGAGCAGGTGGCCACAGGACTCACCTGCCGGCTCCGCAGACACCTCCTTGGCTTTCCTCTGCAGGCTGGTGTGGCGGGCTCTGTCCACCCCCTCCAGCCCGCCGCTTGCCTTCTGCAGGTGGCCACAGCTGAGGTCAGCAGTCCTGAGATCCAGAACAGCCTGGATCCCCTGCAGCAGCCCACAGCACAACAGCAGCGCGTTCAGCATGGTCCTGGGGGAGGTGACCTGTGCAGATGGGCCTGGCCAGCATCAGCCCACCTGCTGGCAGCCTGGCCTGTCCCCTCCACTGCCATCACCCCCTGCCACCCTGAGTGCCGTGTCAGCAAGGGACAGCTTCTCCCAGCACAGCCACCACTCCCAGCTGTTTGTTCCCTTGGACCTGAGAGTCTTTTTTTGGGCCCACAAACACCTGGGAACAGGAGCCCCCAAAGCTCTCTCCTGTGCTGTGGGGCATTCCACATGTGAGCACATTCATGATCTTCCCCACAGAAAGGGGTGACCAGCAGAGAATGGACTGAAATTTGATCTTTTTTGTGGCAGTTCGGGTTTTTCCACCCCCCACACAGCAGCCATCAGACCACTGAGGTGCACAGTGTGTGGCGAAAACATGTGACATGGCTCCTGCCCGGCTCTCAGCCTGAAAGTGCCACTAGAATCTCAGTGCTGGGCAGGGAGAAGGACCACAGCACACACAGCTCAGGAACAGGAGAAGCTGCAGGGTCAGGCTGTGGGCTTTGGGGGCCTAAAGGCTCTAACAAGTAGGTGACCCCTTAGGGAGCAAAAGGAAAGGAGCCAGGAGCTGGTATTCCAGTTGCTGCTGTCAGCCAAATCCTGGGACAAAGCCTGCTGCTTGGGCAGTCTTGAGGTTTCAAACCTGGCTCCAGCAGCCCAATGCTAGCCACTCCTTATCTCCCTATCCCACAAAACCACCCAGCTCTTTGCTGACCCCTCTGCACTGTGGGGAGCCCCACAGCCAAGGGCGTCACATCCCGCACACTCCCAAGACCCTTCCCATGGTAAGCACTGACCTCTCCAAGCAGAGAGGGGGATTGCTGTCCGCTGCTCCGCTGAGCTCGCTGGAAGTGCCACTACTGCTCTCTGTCTCAGTGTCCTCCTCCCCACATGTTTACTGGGATTTATATCAGCTTTTTATTAATTAAGTGCTGCAGCCACATGACTTCACTAACTACCAGATAGGTGGGAGTCTCTGGAAAACGGGCTTTGTCTGGATAGAGAGGCAGCCAGTGGGGTGATGTATGGGAGGGGGAACTCCTGCTTTGTGCCTTGCACAGCTGCAGAAAGGAACAGATCCCTGTTAGCTCCAAACTCCCAGGTTTTTTGGAAGTGATCCCCACTGTCCTTGCAGGCCGATTCCCTTTCCAGCCCACTTCCTTTTCCAGCACCAAAACTGCAGCCTGAGGACATCTCCTAGTTCCCAGATACAGAAGTAACAGGGCCACAGACTCCCCACCAAAACCATGCCAAATTTGACTAGTTTTCAAAGGGAATGTTGCCTATCTATATCTCCTGGTAAGCATCCACTCCCTGTGCAGAGCCTCCAGAAGTCCTCCAGCTCCTGACCACATACCATCTGCAGATTCTCCAGGCTTCCACCTGTGCTAACTGCATCTTACTCATGTCTCATTTGGAAAACCTGCATGCCCCAGAGCCAGGCTCCTTTGGGGAACACTTGTGGCCTTGAGTGGCTTCAGCCCTGCAAGGAATCGGGGGAATAAGAGATAACAGGGAGAGTTCAGCATGCTGTGACACACCCAGCAGGGAAGCTGACAGCCCAGGCTCTGCCCTCACCAGACTGTTCCTATACCAGGAGGAGCCCCGAGGCCGGCAAGTCCCCAGCAGAGCTTGAGCCACTGCTCCTGGCTGGAGCAGCACCTCTGGGGCTCTTTGCAGGCTTCCTCTGCTCCTACATCCTTTGTCCCAGCATGATCTGATTCCTGCTGCATTTGAGGGACAGACTGAGCAGGCACAGGACCAGTGAGGAGCTCATGGGTTATTTTCTGCAGCTGCAAGTGGCTGCTGGAAACACTCATCGCCCATCTAGGTCCCCCAATGCACAACACCCAGTCAGGATCCCCTGCCACAGCACCTGGATGCCTCCTGCACCCCACATGCCTAGACAGACTCATCTTGGGTGAGAGACAAGTTTGGCAGCCCTTTCCATTCCCAAGGCTCAGGTGGGTGCCGAGTGTCCCATCCAGCCCCAGCTCCTCCGTTCCTCCGCCCTGGGGACACCAGCCCCCGCACGGAGCCCTCAGCCCGGCTCATTAGGGCCTGTTTGCAGCCGCGGGCCAGGACTTCTGGGAAGGCATTAGCGGGAACGAGGGCGGCCGCGCTGAGAGCTTTTTAATCTGCGGGAGCAACATCTGCTTTGTGCGCATCCCGATGGCCAGTAACGAGCTAAATGAGGCGGCCGGCCGCTCGCCGGGCCGCTTCCAGGAAAAGACGGCTTAAAGCGAGGGGGAAAGGGGGGCCAGGGCTGCGCTCCCGGCTCAATGGTTCAGGCTCCAGCGAGGGCGGGAGCGGGTGATGGAGTGGGTTCAGTGGCATAGCAGAGATGCCCCTGAGCGGGCATCACGGGCAGGAGTCTCCAACGCTGGGACCCTCCGGAGACAAGCCCAGGCTGGGGGCTCTCCCTCTCCTCCTGGAAGCACCCAGGCGGGCGAGCGGCTCATTTAGCTCATCAGCAGCCCACGTTAGCGCTATGGCCAACCGAGTCCCCGCTACCCCAAACAGGCAGTAACGAGCCGGGCCGCGGGAGCTGCCGGGGCAGCCTCTCAGGAGGTGCGATGAGCATCGCTCCGGCCTCAGCCCCACCGGGCCGGGCCCTTTAAGGCGCGATCCCGGAGCTGCCCTGACGTCAGCGGGGCGGGCGCGCCCGGGC